AAAAAAAAAGTTGTTAAGACCGAAGTGCCTGCGAAATGGGCTCCAACAGCTCCAAGCAGCAGTTATTTTCTGGTAAAAGGATAATTTAACCAAAAATTTAATATTCCCTACTTTGTTCCAAACACAAAATAAAACTGAATTTGACTGTTCCCCTTAAAACATCTTTTCCAACGTCAGATGAAACCTATTTAAGTAAACTCAACTGTGTCTTAAAAAAGTGTTCATAGTAAAGAAAAAAGACGCCACGTACACCACAGCACAAGAAATTCAAGTCTGAATCATTTGAAAAAAATAAAAACATATCTATCCAATAAAAACGCTTTTGAGAAAAAAATCTTTTCAATAAAGGTCACTCAAGACGTAAACAAGCTAAGTGCTCACAACTGCATTCATACCCACTGAAAAAAATTGAGTAAAATTAAAAGTTGAAGTTAACTAAATAGTGTTTTTCAATATCAAATTCAAGCCTTTCAAAAAACAAGTAACTAATTAAGCACCAGAACAAACAACTTAAACATTATAAAAATTCATAGTGCAACTAGAGTACACGAAACACAATAGTTAAAATAAATCAGGTGCATCAAAACAACAAAGTACTTTCAGATCAGGTGCCATTGATCATGATCTATTGCCTCATTCAGAAGAAAAAAATTGATTACATAGCAGAGAAATGCAGCGGATTTCGTTGATCTGCAGTGATAAAGATGGCGAGGCTTCAACTTTAGGGTTATTGTAAAAATATTTGAAGGTAATTTTGACTATTTCGCAAGCATGTTAACAGTTGAAAATTAATAAAAACCTCTTCAAAGTTACCTGCATAAAAATGCATCGAAAAGAAAAAGCTAAACGGAATAAACATCTTCTAAGCAAATAAAAACGTTTAGAGAGCAAAAACTAAAGAACCAATCTTTTTATGGTAAAGAGGGAAAAAAACTGGAAAAGAATTTACACGAAACTACTGAGGCATAAAGGTAAAGCATTAAATTTTCAATTGAAAGTAAAATGACCTCTTTAAAGAATTTAGGCAAATAAAACCACAAAATATTAAAATCATGCTTCCTAACAGACCTTTACTGAATCAAAGAGCAAAAAATTTTACACAGCAGAAAACTACAAAATTATAAATCCAATACTTTTAAAAAAGGGAGAAATGTAAACACAATTTTGAGAAACCGAAATGCTAAAAAGAAATTAGGCGAATACAGACCATACATAAACAACTACCAAGTTTTCTTATCGATCCTGCTACAACCTTTGTAATCCTGCAACACCTGCAGAAAATAGAACCGAAACCTGACTCAAGCAACTCGTTCAAAGAACTGTAAAAAGATACTTTTTATGCGCAAATAAAAGTGAAAAAAGCAACCACTTAGTTTAATGTATTCATATTACCCATTAAAAAAAATTTTTAGAATTGAAAAGAATACAGATATATTGTTGTTCGACACTGTACGTCCAAAAAAAAAACAAAAAAAAAAAAAATAACGCAGCAAACACCCTCTCAATAAAATAAAATAAAAACAAACATTAAAAGTATTTGATAAGCAAATTGAAATACTTTACCTGTAATAACTAAGAATTCCATGTGAGTCGAGGACAAACCACCGATGACGATAACCCCTAAGATAATTAGTCCATTTTTGCAACCACCCGCTTCTTTCAATACTGCCCGTAGCACTGACTTCAACACTTAGGGATGAGAGAGACCCACCTCGGGTTGAAGACATCCCTGTAAATTTTTAAATCAGTAAGATTTAAACTAATAGCACGACAAATACTGTGTATAGATCTTTTGTCAAAAAGCGTGATTCCGATTATTAGCAACATCGTCCTAAACAATAACTTAAAAAACTTAAGATAGTGCAAAAAATGACGAAGCTGTTTTAATGAGGGTTACACATATCCATTGTTATCATTACTGTCACCACTATTATTGGTTTTCGCTTTTTGAAGTCCTGCCACGGCATTTTTAAAATGCAAATTTTCTACTGTGCCATTAGGTTGAAACCATTTGGAGTATATGCATATAAATTGTGGTATACAAATAAATAAAAATGATTTCCTTGAAAACCGAAACAGACGACAATTGAGGTAAAGAATAATTCGCCTCATACAATAAAGAAGAAAAAAACATCTAAATGCAAGTTACATAACATACCACATTAAGAAAAATAACTGAAATAATTAGTAATGTTAAAATGTAATTAGTTATTAGCATTAAAACTTCACCAAACGTTGCCAAACTCAGGTCAAAACTTCACACGAAAAATTCAATGTTTACCTTACATTGTTAGGTACCTTAACATTTATCAAGACGACAAAATCCCACAAAGTAAAAAAAAGTGATTTTAATGGCAATTAAATAGATGTTTCCTCTGTGTATCAGAAGATTCCCTACTAAAAATTTGACACATGAAAGCAGACAAATTACCAAAGTTTTGACGAAAAATATGCAGTGAGTGAACAGCACATTGAATCAACACATGTTCAAAATTCAAACAACTACTGTTCGTTTAAGCACTGTAGGAAAGTGCTGGAACATTCATTAGCCCCAGTAAAGCTTTAACAGGTACTTCCAATCATCAAACAAACAACGGGAACACCAATTACTTATAATTGAAAAAGAACATATTCTGCAGTCAAGTTTAAGTTTGACAACCAAGATTTAAAATAATTATGTAAAACAAGCAAGGATAAAAAAATATTTTTTATTCACTTGCTACAATATTGTATAAGGCTTAATACAGAGAAGCCAAAGAATTTCGAGAAAGAAAACAAATGTCACAAACACAGAACCGCAAATGGAAAAGCA